TTGTGGGGTTTTTTTTGTAATAATTTATAATCATTACCTATGAGAGCATTGGTCTGATAGGAACTACTCCTGTATTACCAGAAGACAAAAATGCTTCTAGATGAATTAAATTTGTTTTTTCTCCTGTTAAAAATCCCAATGAGATTTTGTTTGGCATTGCATTAAATCTATAGTTTAATTTGGAATAAAATCAAGCGTGTTACAATGTAAAGTCTTTCCTTCAGTACACCCCATGACTCTTCATTTATTTGACCTAGATTTATTTATATCTCCAATTGGAGCAGAGAAAACACCACCACTATGACCAATTCCCTAGGTCCGTGGTCAGCAAACTGCAGCTCGGGAGCCATATGCAGCTCTTTGGTCCTTTGAGTGTGGCTCTTCCAAATTACCACAGCCTGGGCGAATCTATTTTAAAGAAGTGGCATTAGAAGAAGTTTAAGTTTAAAAAATTTGGCTCTCAAAAGAAATTTTAATCATTGTACTGTTGATATTTGGCTCTGTTGACTAATGAGTTTGCCAACCACTGCCCTAGGTAAACCAATCTTCTTACTTGGCTTATAACATCTTGGCATGTTGGGTTATAACCACAAAGCAGATGACCACAATGATGAAGGCTAGAGAGGTGGCCCTGGTGTATATTCTCTCCTACATGTCCAGTGCAGTTACAGTTGTATAAGGAACAGGGACTACCAAGTTATTAACAGAATGAAGATGAGTCAACTCTGGTTACTTGCTGCGTCTGCCATTGATATGGTAGTGGCAAGAATCCTTAATGGTAGCTTCTCTTGTTAGTGATAATAACAGCAGCTGCAGCACCAATAACAAACTTGAAGTTGTACCTTCCCAGCCATTGGCTCCATTTGCCCTCATGCTTTTAATGTGGGACATGAGCAGTCTCAAGCCTACACACTCAAGAGATTTTGCATGGCTTTTTGTAGGAGTGAATGAAGGACAGAAATGATAGGATTAAACCTGTGAGTAGGCTACAGAAACAGAGTCTTGGGGGAAAAATAGAGTTATGACTTGGACAGAAAGAGGATTTGCAAAAGAGAGCAGAGAACTTGCTGTTGGAGAGGAGGAGGGAACCAGGATCCCTGGCTCACAGCCTAAAAGGAAGGGTTAAACCCATCACTGCCTGCACAGTGGTGGCTGGTGTTCCATGGGAAGTGTCTTGGTGTGCACACATTTATCCAATGGTGGAATCTGTTAGCACTGTGGATCTCTCATGGGGTCATTTCCTCCCCAAGGGAAGCCTAAGCCTTGCTAGTCATGGTGGCCTGCCTGCAGGTTGGTGTGGCAGAAGTCAAGGATACCAAAGCACATTCAGTGAGAGAGAAAGTGGGACATCACAAAGAGCCCACTCACTTTATTGCCAGGGTGAACAGGACCAGGAGATTGCAACTGAGCACATATAAGAGTCACTTTCTGAGCAGGCCTGTTCTTCTGGGCATGTGACTCATGAGGCTGCTCAGGGCTCCACCCTTAGAAGGAGCGCACAAATTATGTAGCCCATCCTGTTCTGGAAGCATCTGTTCTTACGAGGACTTAGGAGTATAAATGACCTGGGAGAGAAACCTGAACATAAATCACAGGATATAGTAAAGGCCCAGATTAAGGTACACCCTAGTCCCGAAGCAGAGTAGCAGAAGACTGTAACTTTCAGGATGTAAGAGATGAGGAATTCATACAGAGACTGGTCTGAGGCCAGGTGACAGCTCCCTCCTGTCTTGTGGTGAGCAGGCTTCTCGGGGAATGGTGCTCTCTAACCCCACTGTGTCCTTGACCATTTACTCTCTAGATAATGGCAACTCTTATCCCATGGAGTAGGTTTAGGCATCTCAACAACCTTTGTGTTGTTTTCATCAAGTCCCAAGTTCAGGGTTTCCCCAGATATTTCCACATTTGACAGCTGCTTCAAGTAGACTCTTCCCTGAACATTGCAAGAGGTGTCCTTGTGTGGAAGAGGGACAGAACCAGAGAGTCAGGGTCCCCCTCCTCTTAGAGAAAACCGTCTTAGCAATGCTATATGTATTTTCTGGATGTGCTCAATGTTGCCCACGTGGGAGGAAAGCGTTTTAAGAGTTACCAGATAAGGTCACATCCAGCAGAGAGGTTTTGGTTGTGGACTAGTATTGGTGACTTCTTGGAGTTCAGTCACAGCCCTGTAGAACATGGTTAACAGAGGAGTGGGCGGAAAGAGAAGAAATGGGCATCCACAGTCTCATTTTGGGAATGGAATGAAAAGCAAGAGCGTGAACTAGACAGTTCTTCTGAGAGAGCAGTGGACTCAGATGAATTTCTCCAAAGTTAGAGGGATAGATCTCTCCCTAGGGAAAGCAAAAGGGTAAAAGGCTAGTGGTGAAGGACAGGGGCAGGTTCATTCTGTAATGATTAATGTAAGTAGGGCACCCTGCCCTCCAGTGACGTGCCATGCTGTGAATTGGTTTGACGATAAGACAAAGGAAATAAGTATATGAGACACACTTTGATCTGGGGAGTCAGCTGCTCTTGCATTTACTGAGATGGCTACAGGACTCCAGCTTCACCCACCGCTGCTCACGGGACTTCTCTTCTTCCTGTGTGTCGGGACCTGGACTGAGGGTGGGAAGGTACTGGTGGTCCCCATGGAGGGCAGCCACTGGCTCAGCATGAGGGAAGTCGTGCAGGAGCTCCATGCCAGAGGCCACCAAGCAGTAGTCCTCTCACCAGAGGCAACTTTGCTCGTCAAGGAGGAGGACTATTTCACCCTGAAAACCTATCCCACTTCATTCACCCAGGAGGAATTCCAGTCTTTCGTGCTGGGCCATTTTGGCCTGGTTTTTGAAAGAGAACATTTTCTAAAAACATTCTTGAAATCTATTGAAATTATGAAAAATGTGTCTTCAGTCTTTCAAAAGTCTTGTGAGGAGCTGGTGCATAACCAGGACCTGATCAGACATCTGAATGCCAGTGCCTTCGACGTGGTTTTAACAGATCCTGTCTACCCCTGTGGGGCACTGCTGGCTCAGTACCTGTCGATTCCTGCTGTGTTTTTTTTACGTTCCATTCCATGTGACTTAGATTCGGAGAGCACACAGTGCCCAAGTCCTTCCTCATATATTCCCAGGCTATTTACAAGGAATTCGGACCATATGACATTCCTGCAAAGGGTCAAGAACATGCTCTACCCTCTGGCCATGACGTACATTTGCCATATTTCTTTCTCTCCTTACGTACTGCTGGCCTCTGAGCTTCTGCAGAGACAGATGTCACTGGTGGATGTTTTTGGCTATGCATCTGTGTGGCTGTTCAGAGGAGACTTTGTGTTTGACTACCCCAGGCCCATCATGCCCAACATGGTCTTCATTGGGGGCATAAACTGTGCCAAAAGGAAGCCATTATCTCAGGTCTGTATTAGTGCTTATATCCAATCAGTGTGCCAGGCAGAACACATTTTATTTTTTATACTAATTCCAAATGTTTACTTATCTACCAATCTTTCTGTTGATTTCTACCTTTCGTTCTCTAACAGTCTTGATGAGATAAATGGTTCAAGTGTCTCAAGTAGTGTGGTTAAGGTTTGCAATGGTCGTTAAAAATGAGAGAGAGAGGGGTGAAGTTCTGTAATAGGATTTACAATGGTGTGATTCAATCAAGATTGTCCTTTTGCTATGGTTTCATCGTCAGGGTTGTGCTTTTCTTCAACTGTGTAGGAGCAGAGAAATTGAGTTGTGAACTTATTTATCAGGGAGTTTTTGCTTGTAGATGTTCAGTGGAAGGATAAAGGGACTAGCAAATTGCATTTATTTACATGATCATTTATAGTGGTCCTGTTTCAGAAGGGGCTGAGGAGAAATATAATGCAAACCACATGTATCATTTAAATTTTTTAGTAGGCATGTTAAAAAAAAAGCAAAAAGGCATTAGTTTTATTATACTTTATTCAACCAAATATATCCAAAACATTTTCTTTCAACATATTCTCAATATAAAATTATTAATGAGATATTTTACTCTTTTCTGTCCAATACTAATTTTCAAAATTTGGTATGTATTTTATACTTATAGTATAATTCAATTTGGATTAGCCACATTTTGAATGTTCAATAGTTATGTATTACCAATGGCTACTCTATCAGACTAGGGGCCCAGTGCATAAATTTGTGCACTTTGAAAGGCACCGTGGGCTGCGAGGCTGTGGTGGGCACAGGGGCAGGTCTCAGCCCAATATTCGTGCCCCCTCCTGATCCTTCCCGCTGCAGCCCCTGGTCCCCTGTCTTCGGGCAGCCCCACTCTCAATGCTGCTGCTCTCGCATGCTGATGGTGCAGAGCGATTGGGGCCGGTGCCAGCAGTAGGTGTGAGTAGTGGTTGCTGCCAAGATTGGCCCATAGGAGCAGGGGAAGGTGGAGAAGCCCTCAGGGGTGATTGGGGCCAGCAGACGCCACTTGCACCCACTGATGGCACTGAGCAATTGGGATTGGCACTGGGCACCGGTAGCAGGTGCGAGTGGCAGATTTGGTGCTGGCAGTGAGTGCGGGTGCCGGGCAGTACTGCAGCGCATAGGAGCAAAGAATTTTCAGAAACCTCCAGAGGCTCATCCCAATAACAGTGATTGGCACCCCACCTTGGTCTGGCGCCCCTGCTCACCTGCTCCACCAACCCACTATGGCCAATGTTTGCCATGTTCCTTGTTCTGCTGCCACTGCTGATGCCCACCATGTTCCACGCGTGCCACCTGGTGGTCAGCACACGTCATAGTGCCTGGTTGCACGGTTGTTTGGCCATTCGGTGTATTTGCATATTAGGGTTTTATATAGATAGATAGTATATGATCAATATTTGTAAATGTCCCATAGAAACACCTAAAATTTATATTTTAAGTTTTTCTATTAAAAAAAAACTCAACATGCTCAATTCTGAAAAAGATGTCTTAAACTATTCCCCATTAAAATTTTGCTGTTTCTATTTGGAATTTTAATAATTTTTTCTTATTCTATTGTTGCAAGATTGGTACACATAGTTTTATTACTGTTTTATTTTCTTCATAGTTGGCCTTTACCATTTTTTAAATTGTGATAAAGTGCACCTAAGATAAGATTTACCATCTTAACCATTTTAAAGTGTACAGTGTAGTACTGTTAAGTACTTCACATAGTTGTACAACTAATCTCTAGAACTCTTTTCATTTGGAAAACTGAAGCTCTACGCCACATGTGTCAAACACAAGGCCCGCGGGCCAAATCCGTCCCGCCAGGCCTTGCAATGTGGCCCGCACCGCGCTGTCATCACTGCACTCCGCTGCGTTTCCATCACAATGACAGTTTATGACTGTTCAGTAAACCATTCGGCCCGCGATTTAGGCTGGATTTTAGATTTTGGCCCCTTCTCTGATTGAGTTCGACACCCCTACGTCTACGCCCATTAAACAACAACTCCCCATTCCCCTTTCTTCCTAGTCGCTGGTAAACACCATTCTTCTACTTTATGTCTCTGTGAAATTGATGACTTTAGGTACCTCATGTAAGTGGAATTATATAGAATTTTCTTTATGTAACTGGCTTATTTCAATTAGTATAATGTCCTCAAATTTTATTTATACTGTACTACATGATAGAATTTCCTGTCCTTTTAAAGCTGGATAATATTTCATTATGGATATACCACATTTTGCTTATCTATTTATCCTTCAATGGACACTTGGATTACTTCCATCTTATAGCTATTGTAAATAATGATGCTATGAATAGGGGTGTACAGATCTCTCTTTAAGACCCTGCTTTAAAATCTTTTGGGTTTATCCCCAGAAGTGGAATTGCTGGGTTATATAGCAATTTCGTTTTTAATTTTTAGAGGGACTGCCATACTATTTTCCACAGTGATTGCATGTTTTACATTTTACCAACAGGGCACAAGGTCTTCAATTTCTCCACATTTTCTCCAACACTTTTTTTCTTTCTTCATCTCTTTTTCTTTTTTTCATAGTAGTCATCCTAATAGGTGTGAGGTGGTAACTTGTAGTTTTGACTTACATTTCCATAATGATTTGAGATATTGAGCATTTTTCATATGCTTATTGGCCACTTGTATGTTTTCTTTGGAGAAATGTCTATTTAAGTCTTTTGCCCATTTTTGAATGGGGTTTTTTGATGTTGTTGAATTTTAGAAATTCTCTATATATTCTGGATATTAATCTCTTACCAGAAACTATGTACCCTTCTGATCACTTCAAAACTCCTGACATCCTCTCTCTCCATGTTCCCCCCAACCCTCTTTTCTGGCAAATTACTCTGGGAATGTCTTCACTGGCGTTAGTTATTCTGCCTGGCAAGCAAATGACCTCCTTTTTTAAAAGCTGTTTTATTCTGGTATTTTTATATGATGGCTATTTGATGTGGTTAACAGACTCTCTGTGCCCTGTGGGACAGTGGTGGCTGAACCTATGTTCCTGCTGTGTAGTTTGCATGTTATTCCATTGGGATTGAACTTTAAGGGCACTAAACTCATTCTCATACATGCTGCATTTTCAGTTGGTCTAGTTCAGTGATCTTTTTGCTCTCTTACCTTATGCCAGCCTTTCCTTGGAGATGACCAAGGGAATGGCACACTTAGTGATGGACTATCTCAAGGCAACCATACAAGGGGTTTTCATGGGGGCATAGACTGTGCCAACAAAAAGCTGCTCCCTCAAACATGTGTATGTTGCCTCACCCAATCAGTATCCCAAGAACCTAGCTTTCATCATCCTCATTTGATTATGAGATACATGTTGTGCATGGCAATGGGTTAGTTTTATGTAGCCTTGTAGAAATGCTTTTCACATTTCCGTCTATCATTTTATAGATCCAAGTTGGGTCCAGGATAGCAATCAGAGTTGCATTAATGTATCTGAGTCATCCCTATCACTATTTTATTAGGTCAAGTGACCTGAATATGGTTCTCATGTTATTAATCAATCACGTGACTGTGAGAAATTCACTTAATTTGCCCACAGCTGTTGGAGGGAACATGCTCCTACCAATAGCGATTTAAGTTCAGTGAAACTGATTTCAGACTCCTGTCCTTCAGTTTTTAATGTGGATTTCTTTTTAAGCTATCATGTTTGAGGTAATTTGTTATAGCACCCTTAGGAAACGAGTACATCCACTTTGCCATGTTTATCTTCTTTTCAAAAGCCTAGGCTTAGCCTTATATTAAACAATTAACTCTTACTAAGAATTAATTTAAACAATCAACTCTTACTACCAGCATGTATATTGACCTAAAAACCATCTTTAATTTAAGCAGAGGTATTAATACTATATTTATATTTTTACTACTATTACTATGTGCTAAAAAAAAAATGAAGTAAATCATTATAATTTGGCAGTGTTAACTTCAGAGCAAACTATCTGGCTGACATTTCAAATTTTGGAAAGGCCACATTCTAGGTGCCGTGATGAACATTTTGTCTTAGTGTGAAATTAACACCGTCTGCCTCAGGGCTATGTTTAATAAATAGCAAGGTGTATGCAGACATTTGCAGCAGTTTTAAAGAGAAACAAAGAGAAGTCCTATTAGGGTGGTCCTAACAATAAGAACAAATAGGCATAGGCATCGAACCGTTTATAAAGTGCTGAGTACAGTTATTCTAAAAGTAGAGTTCACTTGCATTCTCCAAAAAAATGTCCTGTTATTCCTTCCCATGTGCTTTAAGTGAAACGTGGACTGGAATTACTTGGTGTCAATGTGCAGCAACTGCTCTTTGCCGTTTATTATCAGGGACTTTAACTCTCCGTCTTGTTCCACTTCCACCCGTTCTTGGCCATTCTCGACAATTCTCTTGGTGGTGGTTTTCTTGCCGTTAATGATCTCGGTGGAAGTTGACACGGACTTGAAGCTCCCCATCCCCCCACTACTACCACAGGACGTGGAGAAGGAAGAAAGGCCCCCGTTCCCCAGAGAAGCAAAGGAATGAAATCCTGAATCAAAAGAGGAAAAACCACCACCAAATGCTGGAAACTCATTGAAGGTGGGGAACAGGGGTGAGGACCCTCTGCTCCTGCTTCTCCGACCTCCCAAAATGTTATCAAACGGGTCTCTGAACAACATGTCGAACGAAAATGGGTCCCGGCCACCAAAAAACTCCCTGAAGACCTCCACCGGGTCGCGGAAGGTAAAGACACATTCGAAGGGGTCCTCGAAGGGCCCGCTGCCGCCGCCGCCACCGTCCTCCACTCCCGCCTCGCCGTAGCGGTCGTAGACGTCTCTTTTCTTGGAGTCCGACAACACCTCGTATGCCTGGGCCACTTGCTTGAATCTCCTCTCCGCCTCCTCCTTGTTCTCAGGGTTTTTGTCAGGGTGCCATCGGAGCGCCAGTTTGCGGTAGGCCTTCTTGATGGCGTCGGAGGAGGCCTGGCGGGGCACGCCCAGCACCTCGTAGTAGTCCACCATGTTGGACGGCCGGCCACGGCCCACGGGCCCTGGGCCAGTGGCCAGACAGGCAGCGGCACGCCTGGGGTCCCAGGGCGCAAGCCCAGTGCCCGGCGAGGCTGCCCGGGAGGTAGGCCCCTTGTGACGTAGCCCGCACCTGATTGGTGCCTCTCCCACGCCCTACAAGGCGCTCTGTGACGTGTTTCCTGTGGTGCCGAGGCCCCTCCCACTTAGGCTCCTCCCACCGGGCCCCCAGTGGAGCTGTAGCCTCCAAATAGGGCACAAAAGAGAGGAATTTAACTTGTGCGCAGGATACTTTTGTTAAAGTTGGAGTAAATTTAGACGGACCCTGGGCTCAGGAACAATCATATAGTTTGCCTAGACATCCATTCAACTTTTTGGCCTCAAGACCGTTGGCTTTTGTTTACGTGGGTTGGATCTAGTGATTCTCCATTAGAAATTAACACAATAAAAAATAATCCATTTGATAACAACAAACCCATTACACAATATCATAAATCATATTTTTATGAAAAAATACTTTTTCAAAACAAGATTTAGTGAAGAATGGCATCATTTTACTTTTTTTTCTTTTTTCTTTTTTTTGCATCTCTCTCTCTGGCTGAGCTTGAGTCTTATATCTGCTTCTGCATTCAGTCTTTTGATGTATCACATGTCCTGAAGCTACTCGGGAACTCCCCTGTACACTTAAGAGAGAATGAGAGTGGAAAGTCCAATATTATGATTATAAAAATAGTTTAACTTTGCAAAATTCCCCTGAAAATTTTTTTGGGATGCCCATAGCAATATCAAAATGATTAAAGCTTGCTGGCTGCGCTTATAGTGATGTGTCTAAACTTGGATGCAGTGATTATTTCCACTAAAATGCTATTAACACAACCATGATTTTATTTTTGGCCTTTCTTGACATATTTTTTGCTTTGATAAATGGTGAGGCAACACCAATAGAGGTCACTTAGTTCTAAGAGGAAAATGATTAACCAATGAACTCTCAAATATCCTATATAATAAAAAGCTAATATGTAAATTGACTGAACAGTTGCCATGACATGCACTGACCATTAGGGGGCAGACATTCAAAGTAGGAGCTGCCCCCCAGTGATCCGTGGGCTCCCACTGGGGAAGCACTGCTCAGCCAGAAGCTGATTCAAGTACAGTTGTGGTGGCAGGAGCCTCTCCCGCCTCCGTGGCAAAGCTAAGGATGTCCCTGATGGCTTAGGCCCAATCCCCACATTCAGACTGCAAGAGGGCACAGGTCGGCCTCAGGGACCATAAAAGGTAGATTCAAAGGGTGTGTGTGCTATATCACCAGAACAAACTGCGAACTTTGAAAGACTAAATATAAAGCCTGGATCTGGCACTTAGTCAGCATATGAAATGAACAGTAATAAGAAGCTGGTTGGGAGTAGAATTTATTGTGAACAAAGCAATGTGGGAAATTACAAAGCATATTTGTGGAAGAGTGAGTGATCCAGAATGGCTGCAGGGAAAGAGGCAGAGGGAGAGGTCAAGTGGAATAGTTTGAGAGGAGCAATGAGCTTGGCCAGGTGGGCTGGGCCCATTCCCAGGTCTGAGGCCAAGGCTGAGGAGTGTGCATTTTATTGTGGGCCCTGAAGCTGTTGACCAAGATTTCAGAGGTGTGGTGGGGTGGGACCATGCAAAAATAGCTGATGTCAGGAATCAGAAGGCACAGATAGGTCCTGAGGCCCTGAAACAGGACCAGTGCAGCTGGATCTGAGAGGCAATGGTAGAATTATCTGGATTCAGTACTTTCTTACTTGGATATGGGACCTAGAGAAAAGGGAGAAGGGAGGTCACATCTCTACAGAAACATTTACTGAGTGCTGAAGGTCTGCAAAACCATAGACTGGTTCTTGAGCAAGAGAGTGATTCTATAGCTGATGCTGAAATCCTACCTGTAAGCAATATAGCTGGATAAATAGGTAGGCACATAGACAAGTAGCAGAGAAAGATACCCAAACCGCTAAAGAATACAGGGCAGAATAAAATAAAATGCTACAGAGATTCAAGGAAGACCACATTGCTTCCCTTGGAAGGTCTCAGAGACTATTTAGAGGGCAATGGACTTGTTTATGCAGCTCCTTTATGTTAGGAGCTCCAACAAGGAGCTCCAATCTGATTCCATTAAAAGAGCTACGAGTGGGAGGAATGTGGGTCTCTTAACTACTGGCTTAAGCTTAAAGAGAAATCATCTTCTAGTGGGTTCCAGGAACTCTCTCGCAGACAACTTATTCTGTGAGAGCAAGACCGCATCTCTGCCCTGCTCTGTGTTTCCTTGGCCCTCGTGATCCCCCACCGTGGCACAACTCAGGACTATAATTGGCTGGTTGTTTGTGCACTGGAGTCCTCTTCATAGGCACCAACTATTTCTAACTTGGTTTTTCTGGTGCCAGTTTCTAGCATAGTGCCCATAGGGCCAACACTTTGCATAAATATTCGGTGAGTGGGAAAACTAGCAATGGATTTTTGTGTCAGGTCTGCTCAGATTCTAGGGCAGAGGCTTTACTAGATTGCTTTGCAGTGGTTCTTGGTTGTAATTCTTGAGAGCGAATGTGGATTGTGTACTATTCATATTAATAAACAACATGCCCTAATCCTGAGCAGAGTTGGGCCCCAAACCATCTAGGTACACAGAGTCCCCCAAAAGTTTGGCAATGCTTCGTGATGCAGTGAAGTAATAAAATCATTATCGTGGTGACTGTGTTCACCGCCCTTTGGCTCCATGTAATCTCAGATGAACTCTCGTGACATTGAGACCTCAGGAGAATTATTATTCTTAATGTTGAAATTGGAGCACACATTTCAGAATTGCAGATAAAGGCACACCAACGAGCCAAGGCATTGCTCCCTCTTTTCTCCTCACCCAGAATCTTGGTCCTGGAGAATGAAGAGGGCTTGAGGAACAGAGGAGCGTCAGAGTGCATGTGCATGTGGGTATACAAACAGATACACTCATCTATAATATAAGCACATACAAAACTGGAGGTTTGTGGAGGAAGGATGGTGGTATACAGAAAAGGGATTCTAAGTTCCTACTCTAAGTACCAGAATGAGAACATGCCCCATAAGACCCCAAAGCTTTTAAGTTACGTGTTTATCATGACTCTTCTAACAGATCCCCAAATATGGGTGGCCACTGTTGTTTATAGTCAAAATTTTGGGCTCTGTGCTTTCATCCTTGGATTGTATAGAACAACAATGGATCTCCAAAGGAAAGGGTGAGATACTCAGTTCTATCTGCACTCCAATTTGCTCTTTCTGCAGGAGGGGCATTTCTATTAGGCAATGATCATATTTGTTCCCTGACCCTTCACCTGTTGTTTTGGGGCAGCAGCTAGTACTGGGTATTGCTGTGTGAGCACATTCTACTTGGTCCCAAAGTCCTGCCCTCTGCCTTCTCTCCATTTACATCAATTGGATAATGAGTATGGGGATCACATCTTTACTTCTGACTTCTGATTGGTTGTAAGGTTCAATCATGGCCTTACAAACTAATATCTGGGCATGAATGGAGGTTAGTGGGGATTGTGCTTAAGAGCAGGGTTTCTCCAGATATATAAGTAAAAATTTCCATGTAAATATATTTATTTCTGGATGATATTTACATATTTTATCTTCTAAAGTTCATTTTGTGTTTAATAAACTATTTCTGACCAGAAAATAATTTAAGAGCATATATGTGGTAGCGTCTATACTTTTCTTTAACCAGGTAAAAAGAGAGAAATATTATTATAATTTCCATACTTCTTGAGTACACAATAATCTTACTTTTCATTGAAAGTTGGTATTTCTGGAGATAGAAACACATGTACTTATAAACACTTTTTTAAATGAAATGATTCAAATAGCTTTCTTGTCAATAATTCTATAACTAATAATATAAATAATCATCAAAATAGAGCTTTGTGGTGTGCATAATAACTCACTGGTATTTTATGATGAAGACCTTTTAGCAATCATTCAATAATTATTATGGCCCAGCTGGTATGGCTCAGTGGTTGATCATTGACCGATCAACCAGGAGGTCATAGTTTGATTCCAGGTCAGGGCATATGCCCAGTTACGGGTTCGATCCCCAGTGTGTGGTATGCAGGAGGCAGACAATCAATGATTCTCTCTCATCATTGATTTTCTAGCTCGCTCTCTCCCCCCCTCCCCCTCTCCCTCTCCCTTCCTCTATGAAATCAATAAGAAATATATTAAAAAATAATTATTATGATCTCCATTTGATAGGATAAAACTAAGTTATGCAATATTAATAAATACATGGTATATAATTCTAATCTAAAAAATAAAAAAGTGTAGGTCTCTAGGCTCTGGCTGTCGCAGCCTGGGTCTCAGCTCTGCCACTTGGGAAACGCAGGATTCTGGCAAGTCACTTTGTCTCTCTGAGCCTCAGTGCCTTTGTTTTTAAAACAGGAATAATAGTATTTGCCTTCACAGGACAATTCTGGAGGACTACAGCAGATGTGTTGTAAAGTGCTTGGCCCCCTACGTGGTACATGGTCCATGCTCAATAAATACATATTATTTTTGTTCACCTCTCCCCTTTGCTTCAACGAGTTCAGCAGAATTCCCAAAAGTATTTTCCTTTCCCTGGCCCCTGGGCCTGTGTGATGAGTATAATTTAAGTTTTATTTTATCTATATTAGCCTTCTATATACAGAGTAGATCTCACTGCCTCTCCAAATGAATACAGATCTGTTCTGCAATGGGCCTTCTGTGACCACGTACTCAAGGGGCTCTCCTTTACTGCCATTCAACCCCATCAGCATTCAACCCCTCCTTAGTTCTTTTTTCACAACTCTTAATGTGTCTCTTTATCTGTTTAAATTGTTAATCTGTCGCTCTTGACAGAGGAGGCGAGAGACTCCTGTTTGGGGAATCTCTGCTGCAGCCTCCAGGCCCAGCGGGGTGCTGGGCTCAATAAATCCTTTTGGATGAATGAATCAAAGATGATTGAACTGTGGAGCAGGACATTCTTAAAGGTTTCCACGGGCCAAAGGTGGGCTTGCAACATCACTTTCTTTTCTTGCTGAAAACCGTAGTCAGCTTTCTCTTTCACGTCTGGAGAGGACTCTTTTTTCACTGAATAGCATTTTTCCTCCCGCAAACACTCGCTCCCACGAAATGCTCACTGAATGGAATAAAAGGTGCTAGAGAGGCTTTGCCTTCTCTGTTCACTCCAGAATGTGATCTGAGCGGTTGATAATTTCAGCCAGTTGCCCCGGCCAGCGGGACAGCAACATGGGAGCGAGGAGACACCTGGAAGGGAATGAGGGAGGACAGGAGACGCGGAGATATGGAGGCAAGACCGGGTTCTGATCAAGCCTCAAATTTTATTTGTTGCAGCCGCAATATATGTACACAGATTGTAGGGGGAAGTTGCCACGGAGACATTCCAGGGCGGGGAGGGTTGTGTATCAGCAGGATGTGTCTGCGGCAGAGATTCTCTGGGGCGGGGCGAGTTATCACAACAGGTGTGCCTTGCTCAATGGCCAGATATGCTGCTAGGCATTTAGATTGTTTCTAGTTAACTGCCACACCGAAGCTTGTCACATGAGTTCTGGTAAGTCAGAAACTCAGTGTCTAAGATGGAGGTGTCTTTTAAGATGTAGTCACTAATTCTTTTTCGGCTCCCGACAGCCAGTTATAAAATGATTGTCGCCTATTAAGAAACCATTTTTTTTATTATTATTTTTTACCCCCCCCCCCCCAAGAAACCATTTTATTGCTCAAATTAAATTTCCTGCTGTCTTTCACTGACAACAGCTCTAGTCATGCAACAAAAATCAAACATTAACTGGCTGTATAAATTGATTCTTGGAACCTGTAAGTGGGAAGAACAAACCTCAGGCAGTCTTTGTACCAAAGGCAGGCGCACCATGGCGGTAGGATCCTGGGGCCCACGTCCGCTTGTCCTGGGCCTGCTGCTGTGTGCGCTCAGCTTGGCTGTGTCCCAGGGTGGGAAGGTGTTGTTGGTCCCCATGGATGGCAGCCACTGGCTAAGCTTTAGCGGGGTCATCCAGCAGCTGCAGCAGAGGGGACATGAAATTGTGGTCTTGGCACCTGAAGCTTCGATGCACATTAGAGAAGGAGCATTTTACACCTTGAAGACCTACCCGGTGCCATTCCGAAGGGAGGACTTGTTAAAATCTTTTACTGAAGCTGGGCATAGTGCATTTGAGAAGCTGCCTTTCTTGCAGAGTCTGATCAAAGCTTACAAGAAGGTCAAAGAGGACTCTGCTCTGTTATTGTCGGGGTGCTCCCATCTACTGCACAACAAGGAGCTGATGACCTCCCTTGCCGAAAGCAGCTTCGATGTCGTGTTGACTGACCCTTTCCTTCCTTGTGGCGCTATCGTGGCCAGGTATCTG